GGACAGACCGCTCCGTGCAGAGGATGCTCTCCTGGGTGAGAGGCAGGGAATGGAAGAGAACAAAAAGCCAAAGGGGAAGATTCTTGTGGATCAAAGTCTGTGATTTTTTTTTTTTTTTAAATGTCTCAAATGTTATGTTCTTAACCTGAAAGTAATTTAAATGGCCTAATTTGCTTTGTGAATTGTGTACTTTAAAAATTGGGCCAACTCTAAAACTTTCTTCCTTAGTGCCCAAGCAGTGAAACTTTTTTTGAAAACCTTAGTGTGGAAATATATGCCTTGATAACTTAATTTACTTGAAATATTTAGAAGCTACAATGATAGGAACACTTTACATAATAAATAAGAGAACCTAAAGAGAGAGAGAAGTGGGCAAACCCCTCAAGTCATTTTTAATGACTAAAATAAAATATTAAATACAATATTGAAATGACTTTTGCTGGTTTTGTGTCCCTTTAGGTTTTTTCCCATCATTTGCTGCGATTTTGTCAAAAATTGTGGATTATAAAAGACTATTCACAAAAATTTGAATCTGAAATGTGTATATGAATACTATAGTGCCCTTGTACCTGTCACACCCTCTCCCATCAAATCATTTCTAGTGACGTTGCTCTTCATGCCCTCAAATCCTCAGTGCCTCCTTCTCCACTTGGTTTTTCCCATGACTCTTTTGGCTTGTCTCCTACCCCTGGACTGCATGATTTGTCTCCTTGCTTCTGTCATTGTAGCCTTCTTCTCTTCTGCTACCTGGCCCTTATTGTGAGAGATTTATAAATATGCTTAGATGTTACTGTGTTAACATTTTCAAAATTAGTAAATTGAAAGAAGTGTAGTTTGTTAGTAAATTACACACACACGTGCACACACACAAACACACTTTTTAAATGCAGTTTCTTTTCTGTCATTGAGAAAAGAAACTGAGACCCTTATTTATCCCGTCAGAGATTTTTGTCTGCAAATGCTGCATTTTGCTCAGTCTGTGGGCCCAAATTGTTGAGTCATTATTAGTAGACAAAAAACAATTACATAGGCTAGATAAAGTCTTTTGATGATTGCTTTTGACAATTTTGAAGAAGTCAGAAAGAAAATCAATTTATTTTGAAGAGAAAGTTTGTAAATAATGAGTTGTGTTGACATTTACAGAGTGCTCTCCCTCACTTATTTTTTAAGATGTTAATTGTCAGCCATTACTGAGAACTATTATATATTTTTGACATGCGCCTAGCAAGGTCTAATTTTTATCTTTGTTCTAATTTGGTATGCCTGGAGCCTGGGGTATTTTCTTTTCTCTTTTTCATGTTGAAACTGAAATAAATAGGGACTTGAATGAGTCAAAAAGGTACTAGTGAAAGATGTTAATTGGTGATCTGGTTAAGATGCAAATAATGTTAAGGACAACACTAATTTGTATTCATTTTACTATAATTATAAAAGCATAAGTTTTTACTAACATAAGGAGGTTATTTCTATATTAAAAACTAACCTTTGCAGTGAAAATACATTGCATTGTTTATTATAGACTTGTCTAACAAGAAAAAAAATGTTAATAAAAGTTCTCATTCATACCATAATAATCTCTGGTCTTAACTCAGTAGATTATCAATAATGAACCTGCATATTATGCCCTGTTTAATTGTTTTTATGCAAAGATTCTTGTTTGTGTGTGGAGGGTTTTTTAAGTTACCCATTGCTTCCCTTTCTGTGCTGGTTATTACAAACACAGATTCTGTGTCATGGAGTGTAGGGATGAAAAGGGACTGCTTATATTACCAGTAAGTTGGTCGATGGTTGTACACAGGCTATGACTCACTGTTTGTGGGTATGGTGTGTAGAGAATGTTCTAACCAAACCACAATGTAGAACAGTTTAAATAAAGCCCGCATGTTGTCTTCCACAGTACAGCAGATGTGCGCTGTATTAACAGTTTTACTTAGAAATCAGATGGCTTATAGCTGTGATTGAAAAGAAAAAAAAAGAAAAGTAGGTAAAACAAAACAAACACCCATAATGTAAATAAGTCATCCATTAAATTAATTTATATACTGAATATCTTCTCGAAGGCTGAAACATAATGTAAAAGGCTTCAAAACCTATAGTGTTCATGTCTGTCTGTATACACTTCAGCTGTTAATGTCAGTCCCCAATACATTTACCCTCCTGCAGTTATCTTCTTTATATCAAACCCACAGGCTTTCTGAAGTTAAAAAGGTATGGATATGAAGTACTATGAAGTCTTCTTTGCATTTAAGTAACTGAATAACTAGTTTCTGTCTTGCAGATTAACTGAAAACAAAAACCTGCATTCTAAGCAGCTGCGCTTTTGTGAGCGATCTGTCCTAGGAGTTGAGGCAGACACCAAATTATTCCTGAGAACTTTTCTATATAACAGTTGGGGCAACTGGTCTTTGTGGGCCTCTTTCTCTTTCCAGTTCAGTAGATGCATTTGAGATGCACATATTTTGAAAATACCATAATGTATTCAAGAAAGAGAGAGAGGTGGTTAGCCATGTTAGTTTGAGGTCAGTCAGAAGGCAGGGTAAATATGAGATGGGCAATATTATGGGACCATACTGCCAAAGCCTGTGGAAGAAATAGTTGGTTGCAAGGTACGGAGGAAGAGGCTGGAAGGAGAAGTGGGATGTCCAGTCTGGGAGGAGGCAGGTTTGGAAAAGGACAAGGGTAAGGGAGAAGCCAAAATAAATCAAATTAGGCCTTGAAGGTCAGTAGAAGGATTGGATCTAGGTGCAGTTTCAGGAAGGAAGCTGAGAGCCAAAGAGGGCAAACTCTTAGAGAAGAGAATGTACAAAGAAGTGATACCTGTTTGTTTGGTTGGTTTTTTTTAACACTGGAATGGATTAGGTTATCCATATTGAGCTGCACCAAGTACATTTTGGCACTAATGAAGTAAATGTTCAAATAAGAACCTTGTCACTCAAATGAACTTACTCCTCCCACCCCACCTGAAAAAAGAAACATGTAACCTAAATTTCTATAGAAAACTAAAATGCTCAGGTAGGAATTCTAAAAAACTCTACATACTGAGGCTATTTTGAAGCTATTAGGTCAAGCAATGAGGGAACAGTTTTAAAAGGAACAGTGCATAAATAAAGATTATATGGTTAATTGGCATTGACAATAGGAGAGACTCTGCCTATACCTTGCAATTGCAGAAAAAAAAAGAAAAGTGCATTCCCTAGAATTCATACTTTAGAGCCTCAAGATGGCAGTCTGTTGTTTGATATCTTTTAAAATTATTTTTTCTATTCTGTAAGCATTTTTGCAGGATTACATTTTATGCTTAATTCTCATGGTCTGTATGTTGAGTATTACAATGTATTGTAATCTAATTACATACCAATATAATTAACAGGTATTAAATAACAGCCTATTATAAAAGCTTTCACAGAAAAAGGCCAATTTATTATCTACATCTATTTTAACTTTAATTATTCTACATTAACAAAATAAATGTCCTATCCATATTAAATATATATTTGATATAATATCACATAATAGCAAATTATCTTAATACTTAGATGTCTTTTTATGGTCAAGCAAGTAATCGCATGTCTTAAGTATGAAAAATAAATGTCTCCCAATTATCAAAATGCTGATTTATTCACCAATTATCTGACATTCAGAAATGCTTCCTCACTTATTCAAGGAAAAATCCTTTTCCCCATCAGAAGCCATGACAAAATCCCATTGACTTCAATGGAAGCCATGATTTCTCCCTCAGAAATGTAATACTTTGAATAATATGCTTGAAGTTAAGTGCAAGGTTTGAGCCTGAATTGCAGAAAAAAAGCCTCTAAGCAACTGTTTTAAAAGAAAGTAAGATTCAGAAATAACAGGCTACCATTAAAGACTAATATGTTACTCATGGAAAATATAATTGTATTAGAAGGTAAAACCGCAATCAACTTTTCTCTTTAGAATGTCAAAATCTCAGATTCTTCAATTGTCAAAATTGTAGCTAGAAAAGTTAAAAAGAGACAATCTGCTGGCTGACTTGAAGCAGAGTTTGCTCAGAGTATCCATGTTTCCAGCATACTGCTAAATCATCATTACTCTGGGAAGAACAGAAACAGACCTTTGTTCTGAAACCTTGTCTCTAATTTTTAAAACTTGGAAAACCAAAATTGTCTTTGGTTTGTCATTTATGGAGGGAGAGGCAGGGGAGGAAAAAACTGTTTAAAGAAGATATTTTTATTTGTAAACATTTTATTAAAAAAAAAAACCTGTTTAATGTTATTAGTCAATACATGTGTAATAATACTTAATAAAGTGTCATGTATTAATAGGTATTTTGGATTTAGGAATGTAACAGTTGAATTTGGATTATCGGAGCTCTTTCCTGCTCCAGTCTCTCCTCAGTCGTCATACTCCAGAATCTAAACAAGTGTGGCTGTTTTCAAGTTACATTGGTGGGTAAGGCCCTGCAAACTTTTGGAGTGATCAAACAAGCAAACAAACAAAAGAGAGAGACAGAAAGATTAGCTTTTACTGAGCTAGCTACCGTGTTGCTCTGGAGCTGGAGAAAGAGCTCATGGTTTCCAAATGGCTAGTGGCAAATCAGCAGCAGAGAGAACCAAAGGAGTGGAGAGGGCACTTGGCAATGATCATAATAATAATAATTTTAAAAAGTATATAAAGTGCACAGTCAATTTGTCCAAAATGTGTATTTGTTTCTTCCCAAGGATTTACTGGATTGGTTGCTGGATGTTTAATAGAATTTGGCTTGCAGGGATCATACAATCACAAGGGGACAGAAAAGACATTGCTTTTTCTCTCTCTCTCTCCTGGCCTCCTCTACAGGAATTTCTTGAAAGCAATTCAAGCCTAACCTATTGCAGCTCTTTGGCTATTGACCGGGTTTCCCACGTCCACAAGGAAAGAGTGGGGGTAGGAATAATCAAGGGAAGGGGGGTGTTCTGGTGCCTTCTCTCTCCCTTTAAATGCCAGTGCTTTCCAGCTCCCCATCCTCCAGTCCTAGAGGTGCGTGGGATCTGGAGATCATGAAAAGTTTCTCTTTGTTGGTATATTGTCTCTGTGTTGGTGGAGGGGACTCGGCAGTCTGAGGTGGGCTGGGCACCTCCTGGGGCCCTGTCTCCACACTGGGGTCCCCCTCACAGTCTAGGGTTTTACTGGCTGGGGTGTTGGCAAGAGACTCCAAGGAGGTGCCTGCCTCCTCCAGGTGGCTGTAGCCCTTATTGCTGCTGGAAGGCTCAGAGGGGGGAGACCCCCCCCGCATGGCAGGGGGGCTGAGGTCAGGGGAGCTCCCCACCTCAGGGGATGGGGAGGGGCTGGAAGAAGCCTGTGGCAGACAGTCCTGTTCCTGGCGGCGGGGCAGGAGCTCAGGGGATGGCACTCCCCGGGCGTCAGGCAGGCAGCTGGTGCTCTGGCGCCTCAGCACCCTCAGTGGGCGGCTGGCCTGGGCCAGCGCCAGCCCCTGGCAGCCACGGAGGTCAGTCAGGCTCTGTTCAAGCTCACCCCTTGGTGGCTGCCAGTCCCCCTCGCCCTGCGCTAGGGGCAGCAGCGTAAAGGCGCTCAGTGTGGACCCCACAAGGGAGCCTGCCATGCTGTCCGGTGGCTCGCAGGAAATGCTGTATACTGCTTCAGCCAGGCTGGGTGGCGGCGGTGGGGGGCCGGGGCTGGAGGGGCGGCGGACAGGGGGCCAGGCACCGCGGGGTGCTGCGTAGCTGACAAAGCCATTGAGTGGTGTTGGGGCGGCAGGTGGGGCAACAACAGTGCCAGCAACCTCCTTGGC